CGGCTGGCGCAGCTGTCACTTCAGGTAGCCAAAGTGCTGACGCAGCTCAAGGAACAAAATCCTTCGTGGATGTTGTCCGAGAAGTGACTGAAACAAGTTATGCGGGCCCATGGGCTCGAAACTGTTCGAATGGACGTTGTTCTAGGACTCTCAGATGGGCCCTCTCCCCCTATCCCCGACTGGTCTGTGTCCCTAGAGGCTTCCTTCGAGACTTTGCGGCCATTACAGCCTTTTATACTCGGAGATCATCTCGAACCATTCGACTGGAAAAAGATGAGCACCGACAGGATATACTTTAATGTCATTCGTCAAACCGCATCCGGGGCTCTCAAATGCTCTTCTGCACCAGTTGGACTACAATCAGAATTCCGATCGTATCTACAGGATTTATGGGAGAGGTAATGTTGATTGGGGATTCACACCCAATGCCGACATGGGCATAACGTTCGACGTGAGTCCTCTTCACAATCGAGTTTGACTACTTGATCTAACGGTGGCTGCGCCCTCCGAAGGCAATGATTCCCCGTGTCTTGCGTGAGCACGACGCGAAGGCACTCTTCTTTATGTACATGCGCCTTCTGGCGGCTGCACGGAAGGTCGGCGTCTCTGCATCGGACCTCCGTGCACAGCTGCATGCAGAGTAAGCCAGCCAACTTGTAGTACTGGAAATATATCAACTCACCTCATATACACCGACTTCGAACAAGGTGGGGCATTGATCCTCTGTGCGCTGCCCCTCCACCACCATCATCACAGGAAGAACTCGAAGCTTGGCGTACTAGAGAGGAACTGACACGTTCGCTATACCGTGTCCGAAAGATCGAGCAAATGAAAAAGCTTTGGCAATTGGAGCCGAAGGTACGTGAGTTCATCGAGATGGATTCTATCGGAACACCAGTGTATCGAGAAGAAAAGCATGGGATGGATGCTGTGTTTAGTATTCCCGTAAAGAAGCAGGGAGATGAGTGGAGGATGACTTGACAGACTCGGACTTGGTCAGCAGTCATGATATAGCGGTACGTTGTAAAGACCGATATAATGACCGCAACTGCAATTTCCTTGTCCCATCATGTTGTCATGAAGATCATTCCAAGCCGGAGCGATAGTAATCTCGCCTACGTAATAGTAGACAGATTTGTGTCATTTCACACCATTGTCCACCATTAGCTGCCATTAAACAAGTTTCCAGATCGGCGGCATTCCACGACAATGCCACTTGACATTCTAATGGACGCTTCAAATGTAGCGAGCCCGTCGCTTGAAGAACGCCCAACAACACACTTATTCATCAGCTTACCTCAACTTGACCTTGACTTCAAGCCTGAAGGCCTAAATCACGAAACGTGTACCCGGTCGGCCCATGTTTCTTTGTAACCACACGCGTCCAGGAAATATTTGCAATGGAACGCGTCAATCCTGCAGAAGAGCTTGTCGTGATATCACTATGAAAGAGACGTCAGACTTGACCATCCTGGGGATTAGCAAAATCATGGCGCAATTTAAAGAGCAAAATCCTACATAGGACCTTCCAGATAAACGTTTGAAACAAATTACGAGGACTGACGGATTCGAAACGATCCGCCAGCTCATACACCGTCTTCAAGTCGTCATTCCCAAAAAAAACTGTGTAAAGCACGGTTTAGAAGCAGCGCTCGAGAAAAGTTAGCCCATCTAGCCATTCGTCCTTGGCGAGCACTTGGGGGGGGGG